GTTACATCCTCTAACCATTCTCTAATCTTTTGATTTTGCAGTACGCCATATCGAAAGTCAAGCTGAACCGTCGCTGCACGATATAAAAAGACACTATCGAATTACCGTAATTACTATAATTACTGTAATTACCGTGGATCCAGGATATTTTAACTGTGCTTCGTTCCTTTTTTTTTTTCTATCTACCTCTTCTATATACATCGACGGGGAGAGGTAGCGGAAGAGAACTGGTAACTCGCCTGTCCCACTTTCTCGTCGCTGAATTTTGCGCGAGATGTAGGGAATAAAAATTGAAAAATAAAAAATCGAGGAAAATTGATTCTCCGAACAGAGACTCGGTTTCCGTTTCTCGACTCACGCGTTTAACACAGAGGTTCCCACACTTTCGCCCGTGTGTGCCCGCCGTTAGGAGCGCGCGTTAAACGACATTCCCGAACGCGCGGGATTTTCTCCTACGGATATACACACCTGAATGAGATGACCTGATGAATGCTCCCCCCCTCCCGCGCGAGAGACTCTCTTTCAATTAGACAAAGTGGCGGATCGTTACGCAATCGCGAACAAATCTCGTCGTTTCTTCTCCCGTGCGTCATTTCTCTGAACGTGTGGTTAACGTTTTTTTTTTCCTTATCGCGCTTCTTGCCGACGCGCGATTAGAATAATGCAAAACCGTGGCGCGTATATATCTCATTATCTGCCCGGTTTTTTGCAGACCGCACAGAGCGCACGATCCGCGAGTCGCCTTTGCAACCTAGAGGTATCGCGGGCTTACGCAACCAGCGGATCGGAAAAGCAGACGACGTATTCTCGAATCCAAAGAAAAGAGAGCGCGAACAACCCTTACTTGGAAAGACCGTGACGCGACAGAGAGGGTGACCCGTCGGAAAGTTGCCGCGACTAAACAGCTATTATTTTGTGACGAGCGGACCAAGTAAAATAAATGAGACAACGCTCGATGGAAGAAAGATTCGTCTTTCTTCGCCGACGGAAGTTTCGAATGATCTCCCTTCTCACCGTGTTTCTTTCCGCGGGATTACATTTCGGGGATAAATTGATATCTGCGCTACCGGCCGAATTTTCGGCCCTTTATTATTAATCGTTTTATAATTTAATAATCCGACAAGTTCACTTTTGCACAATGTACACTTTTACAATTTCATGAACATATTTCTTGCGTAATGTGCTGATAAAATTACTTAAAACAAAAGAATCTCTCCTCGAATATTGTATTACTTGTGACAACTATCGTAATGTTTATATCAAAATACAGAAGAAATATATTAATTTACGTGTAAAGATATTTATATATTGTTTGAGAAATCGAGTAATCTCCTGTTCGTTGAATGAAGCATTCGTTGGTTTGCTTCGTCCAAAAGACAAATTCTTTTCGATGAAGAAATTTGATCAAATCCAGAGAAAACTTTTCCCCTGTGTACAGAACACTGTCTCATTCATTTCGCTTGGTTCCCTCATTATAAAGTAACGGTTATTTAGTTTCAGCAACTTCCCGACGGTCATCCTGTCGTACGTAACGCTCGAGACTCTCAACAAAGGCTCACAGATTAGTATCCCTGAACGATCCCGTGCAGCGATGCCGTCGAGTTGCATCGTTTATCGATCTCTCTCCTTCCCCGTCTCTCTAGCGATTACATCGTTCTTATCCCCGACTAAATCTAAAACGCGAGATCTCCGTCAGCCAAGTTTGTGCACTTTCATGCTAGATCGCGTAAAAATCTAAAACGAGCATCGCGAATACTGTCATTAGCTCACTGCATCATCTCGCATGCTATTAAAGCGCGATAGAGCTCGGTAGGTATCAATTAAGAACGGGATCATCAAGAGAGACACTGTCGCGCACACCTGTATATTTACGGGACGCATTATATGATTTTCGGTCGCTTAATAACAATGATCGTCTTTAACTTCCAAGCGGACGCTTGCGCGCGATTCGCATGCAAATGGAAATGGTATACATATTTAAAGATCCCCGCTGGACGGGGAACTTCCTCGTGCACGATCGTCCGTATTATCTCGACGGACAAACGGGTATCGCGTCAGATAAATACGATTAATCAGTTTGTTTTTCGCGTTAACGGCTGTGAAGCGGCCGTTTATTGAGAACAGTGAGGATTTATTACAAGGTAACTCAGGAAACAAGGAGGAAGGTCGCCCCGGGCTTCGTGTTTTTCTTGCGTGATGTTCGTTTCTCGACCCGGTAGGATCTCGTACTGCAACCGCACTGACTGTACATCTCGATACGAAATGTTGACGCTACTTTGACGCTCTTAAGGAGATTGTGACTTTGAACTGCACTGAAATATTATTTGACTGCTCGTGCAGTTAGAAAGAAAAGATTGACCATACGAAAGCTGAGATATTTGCATTTAAGCGTAAGAAAGCGTCAGCATTCTTCATGGACTCGTACCGAAAACCAAATCGAATATTTACCCAAACCGCAAAAGTCCAAGTGTCAGTAAATTTCATGATTAGATTTAAGATATTTTGCTATGTTAGCCCGTACTGCGTTGTAGAAATAAAAGTAGGGCCAAAATTTCGACGGTGGGTGCGATCCGTGCTTTCACCTGCCGCAACATGACAACGCGCAACCCAACTGCGAGAAACAGCGTGATTTGTAATCGTCGGCTCGTACTGGCGGTGTAACGTGTGTTTAATCGACACGTTGCGCGTTTAATTCCACGTTTACGCGTCCGAATCTTTAAGTCGCCGCGTAGTATCTCCATCTGCGAGATGAACACGACGGCTGGGAAGGAGTCGAGTCGCGCGTGTCGGGTTGCGACGACACGAGGACGTCGCCTCGCCACACAGAGGAAAGAAAAGCACGGTCGATGTTTTATGGAAGCCCACTGACCATAAATTATAATCAACGTCCGTGCCAACGCTCTAACAAACTTCCAAGCGTGCGTCATTAGGGCACCGTTGGCTGGCGCGGCGCGGGGCGACGCATGCTATGCGCATTTGTTGTGCGCTCGTTATTAAGCGCTCTCGCGGCTCGGGATATCCTGTAGGATGTCCTTCTGATTAGCAATGGAGTTTTGCGAGCAAAAAGCTCGCTGTTACTGTCGCCAGGCGGATGAACAAAAGGAACGGCGTCCGTTGGAGCTCCCGACGATTAGTCGGAATAAGCGATGCTGTAATTGACTATCGAGTGGATATACACTGTGATGACGAAATGTTAAAAATAAATTTTGTATGCGTAGAAAAAAATAATTTTCACAATTCTTTTATATCGCTCTGTTGTTATTATAATGTCCGTACGACGTAGTGAAATGTATTTCTTTTTTAGTGTAAAATCATGTATCTATTCTGGGGTTAAAATTTACACTGTAAAAGAAAATCAGTCGGGAACAACTTGAATCTAATTAAGCGAGTCCAATTTCAAAGTTTCCGTTAACGAACCGCCTCGATCCTTTCAGCAAAATGTTGACGTTCCTTCAATCTCTTTGACTTTTAATTGCAGTTCACGCGAAGAGATTTGCGTAACCGTGAGACCCGGTTCTTCTCAGCCGATTTTTTTCTCTCAGCGTACACGAGCTGAAAGATCAAACATAACGGGGTCCCGTTGTAACAAGATATAATTGAGTTTACACGAGAGCACGATAGGCGCGCGAGTAAACTCGGATCGAACGTCCGAATTTGAAACGCGGGACGACACGAGGTCGGATTCGAATGTTTGTTCTTCTGTAGTGCCCACTCCGCCGGCGGAGGATGCTCCGTCTTACGTGGCAACTTTCGAGACGTGCGGTGTTGCGTGTCCAAATAAAAATTCATTCAAGCGCGCGCGCGGATGAGTCATTCCGGTGATGATCGTCGAGCCCGAACCGTGTAAATTCGCTTTAATGTGCGCTCGCGCGCTATTCCGAAGAGATGATTTCATCACTGCGCCCTACGAGACAAGTGGGCGTCGCGCGGAATGTAATTCTTCGCGGTCATGACAGCGGGAGAATGTAAAGGTGGACGCGAGGGGGAGGGTGAGAGCCCTCCTCCTGTGAATTACCGCGGCAGTAAATCGGAAAGAGTTACGTTTATCGCGAGCGATAAATCGCCGGGGAACGGCGACGATTACGGCTAATACGTCCGAGCGTCCTTGTCCATTATTGATTTCGATATTCCGGCGGCGGGAATTCCTGCGGAATTCGCGTGTGACGGAGCGGTGCGTTGTATCAATGAGTTCCGAGCAGGCCCGTCCTCTCGCCAGATGTAAATCTCTTTTTATGATATGCCGACGGTACTTCGCGTATCAGTACTTTCGAGCGAGAACGAGCAGCGTTATCGAATGACTTGGAAGTAAATAAATAAGCGGTTATCTCTCTCCTCTCTTCTTTCTCTCCAATAAATTCATCCCTCTATATCGATTTGTTTATTGAATTATTTATTACACGCGACTCGGAAGATTATGGAGGAGAAGTTCGATGAATGTAAATCGACGTGACGCAAAACGTTACGTTACGTTACGATACATAGTATTACGATACGTCGTATTTTTCAATAAACGTCGCACTCGCACTTCGCAGGAGCTTCATTAACGAGCTACTAACGGATAATTACAGAGCGGTTCTTTGGGTATGATATTTTGCGTTATTATCGAGGCGCTTTGCGGATAACTGAACGATTAATGGGGCGTCGTTCTTCGTATTAAACGCAACAAGATTGCAGCTGGAACGCACGTTCGAACGTAGAATTTTGAAGTTGAGTTAATACGCGCCGTTAATGAGATGATGTCATCAACGAATTCTGCGAGGCGCCACGACTCGTACCTGCGAGCGTATTCGCGGCGATATACGAGATGCTTACACGGGCGATGGCGATAAATTCAACATAATTTCTATCGCAGACGAAAGATCGTAACGCGCTCTTTTTACTGTTGCGCTCTTTCACCGAGCTCATTCCAACAGGAGCGACTAAAATCGGTGTGCGGACGATCTAGTGCACCGAGAAAAAAGTTTTAGTACAGTAGCTTGAAAATAAGAGGAAAAACTCACCTTCCACTAAAGATGTTAAGAGCGTAACGTTGGCAGCCTTCCTCCTACCGGCTGGCAGATTTAGGCCGATTTTTTCCAGCTTTTCCCTAAGCAGACGTCCGCCATTTTTGGACTTCGCCCTGGAAAAAGCAAAACACATCGCACACGTTTCTTTAAAACCATTTCAACTTTTCGTCGAGCGAGATTAATTCGTTCCCCGAGAAATTTAGAAAACACGCAACATCAGATCTATCGCCAAACTCGATCGACTTCAAGAGCTTTCGTGATATTTCGCGGCCTAAAACCGAAATTGCGACCGCGTCAGCGAGACAACCGGCTCAATTTGTCCCACTTCTTCGCGAATTTTATATTTGCACTGTGAAATAAATAACGACTCGAGTCACATCGTCGCGAGTGAGCGAGAATAAGGACACTTTATATTCGCGCGTCCGCGATAATACAATGTATTATTTATTTCCTCTACTCTGTGTTCGCATAATATTTGGCCGGTTACACGCGAGCGAACGCCCACTCGCGCGCTCGCCGCTCGTTCCGGCGACGGTGGGAATTACAAAACGGAACTCGGCCATTAATCATTTTCGCCGTGATCATCTTCGAAAAGATGAAATCAAGGAGTCTGACAAAGAGAGCGAGCGAGAGACAGACACAGAAGCGGCAAAAGTAAGGGGACAGAGGGCTGAGGGAGGAGGGGGAGATGGAAATACGGGTGGATTAGCATAATCTACACGGCTACGTGTGTCATCGGCGATTGAGCAACTCTCGACGCGGCGGAGCAACGTACGTTCGAGGATGCGGCGTTCGCGAGCAAGCGCGTATGTACCTCGCGGGACAGATATCCTCTCCTGCGGTCTGAAAGGAGCACTATGCGCGTGTTCGCAGTCTATTCAGCTTGCGACGCGGGGCTTTTATCGCGGTCGCCTTCGTCACATGGGATTCTGGGTTGATCGTCGGAATGACACTCGCGATGATCGTATAATATGTATACGGCGCGATAATATATATATAGTTCAGTTTCTAAATGGCTCGGATACTATTACTTTCGATGCAGATTGAAACCCGGCCAATGGTGTCCGGTGAGAATTTATTTTTCGAAGACAAGTTCTCTCATCCCGTATCGGAATTTTCACTTTACACTTTTCATTCTACAGTGTAGTAAAAGTAGCACAAGTAGTAGGCTCGATTTCAATACTAATAATATGATTTACTCCTATATTTCGGTTCCAAAACGAGATATAATTATGACGTACTATAATAATTATCGTGGAACACAAGTTATTCAACAAATATTTCGTTTACAAGAGGACAATGTGGGCCACAAGAAATCATGCAAAATTAGTCTGATATGGGACGCGTTAAGAGTAAATTGCTTTTAAGAGTGTCAAAGTAGCGTCAAAACTTCGGCTCGGGATTGGATCGTTTGTGTTTCCGAACTACATCGGAAAAAAAATATCCAAGTCGTTTAAAAACCAAGTTTACACGCGGCAACGGATGATTGATCGGAGGTAACGCGGTCATTCGTTACAATTAATTAAACACGTCGTTCGTTGATCGATTCCGGGAAATAATAAAATTCCGGGTTTACTGTGGCAAAGAGCGGCACCGAGAGACTAAAACGATAATATTCTATTTTCTGGCGTTTGGTCCGATATTATTCTGGCAGGCAAGAGATATTGACAGGTTTTCTCTTTTTATCGAAGTTATCACACACAAACTGCGCAATACATTCTTAAAGATTTTTGCTAAAACCTACTTTTCCTTGCAGAGAGAAGGATTTCGCCTTTCTTCTTATTTCTCGCTAACTCCTATATCAGACACGTATACGTGTCTTTCTTCTTTTTCTTTCTCTCTTTTTCTTTTTTGAGCGAAGTCTATCAAGAAGCACCGTTAAAAATTGCGATTTAATTCTTTCACGCTCGCGCAGACTGTCGCACTGCCGCTTCGTGTTATTAATCCGACGACGGCGGCGGTGCGAAGTAAATTTTTTCGTGGAACACACCAACGGGAAGATGATAGTAGCGGCGACTTCTTTCCCAACACACCCTGTCCATCCATCATTCCGGCCTGTTATAACGGTAACGCGTATCGCCTACCTTTGTTCAGTTTAGCCGGCCGGCCCGCCCGGAAATCTTTCGCCTCGCTCGACAATTAATACATTTTACCGCTATGGGTTTTTAATATCGGCTCCTTCAAATCTACACGATCGATATTTCCCTCGTCTTAAATCTTCCATCCTTCTCTCTCTCTCTCTCTTTTTTTCAATCGGCTTAAATTTCCATAGTGTCACTTGTACATTACGTCACTAGCGAGCTTCACCGCGAGAGATACGATATTCAATCTGAAGGTACAGGGCATTAATGCTGTCGAAGTAATTTTCAGTTAAGCGTATGCAAAAGTCGACGACGAACTTGATAAACACTTGGCAACGTACAAATGATCCTCAAAATGTTATGTTATACAAATACTAACGCGACTAAATAGTAACGCGTTAAAATAGGTTGTTTTTTGAATACTCGTATCGAATTTAATAATCGAAATATTTCAAGTATTTGCAGCTTCGAGGTGAAGTTAAAACGAAGTCTGCAGAATGTACAACGTAAGCTCCGCGGGAAAAAGTCGCTGCTTTGCCGGGAAAGTTTTCAAGTACGGCATCCCCCTTAATCCACGATCGCGACAAACTGCAGAGCAATCCGCGCGATAATTCGCGACCATCGGGTATGACTTATTAATGCGCGGGCACTTCTTCGGCCACCGAGAACTGGTTTGGCACGACGCGCGATAATCGTCAGCGATTACTCGCCCCGTATACGCGCATCGATCTCTCCGGCGAAACGGTCGACGCCCGGCCGAGGAGGAGAATTTCGCGGGCGACATTAACGCGCTGCGAGAGGAGTCGAGAGGACGGGTGAACGAAATCGAATTCTCGTATTTGTTGTTAACGATCATTGGCGTCGTTTCGCGCGACGTTACGTGACGAGAGCGAGGCTGCACTCATTACGGAGTCTTGTGCCGAGAAGGATCCTCTCGGAGCCGCTCAGACGCGCGTTTCCACGAGACCATCACCCTCGCAGCCGATCCCGCCGATAGGAAACACCCGGCTGGGTTTCCTTGTTCCCCCGAGACGTCCTCGAATACTAGCATCGTTAATCGTACTACGGGCGCCACGCGACGGTTAGTAAACCGAGGGACTTCATGATCAATGCTCATTCAGAACACCTTCCGCCTCATTTCGCCGGAGACGACGAGGCGGGATCCATCCAGCGACAATCAGTGTTACGCGCGAACGGACGTCGCTCACTTTCGCTAATTACATTGGTCAATAAATTTCATTGCATCTTTTCTGAATTTTAATTTTTTCTGTTTATGTGTTGAAATAAAAAAACGACGATAAAAAAAATTACACACTTTTACTTATTTGCAAGTTTTTCTCGCATGAACATTTCGTCGAAGAATACTGTATTGCGATCAATAAAACGGACGAACGAATGATCGGTCGATCTTCGTGACGCAATGGTCTCTCAGCGGACTTAACAAGAACCGCGACGACAGAATAATGTGCGATGGTTTTTCTTGCCGCGACTTTTTCATCCGGAAAGTGAAACTTGACTATGGTATTAGCGTACCCGTCCCTTACGTAAGAATCGGTGCGCGCAACGACAATCTCCTTGCAGTCTGAATGCACCGTCGGCAAAAAATAAAAAAAAAGCAAAGAAGAAACGAAGCAGAAACGGGAGAAGTGGGTTTCAGGCCGGCAAAGACTTTTGTCCGATCGCGGAAGCTGATCGCGACGGTGGTTTAACTCACTCCAACTGCCGGACTTCTAACAGATACGCGCGCGCGCGTTGTGCTTCGATACTATCGATTAGACGCTGTAATATTTCGCCGGCCGGCCGGCTTAACGTCCCCGTTATCTCGGATCGGAACGCGATCGTTCGCTCGTATTACTTCGGTCACAATCAACGAAACGAACCGCGGGAGCGCTGTCGCCGTCCCGTTTCAGCCGCGGGCCGGCCGCTCGCTCGCTCGATCTCGCGATCGCTCGATATTTCCTGCGGACGTTTATGCTAATAAACGTAATACCGGTGCTCGTATTCGCACTTATTTGATTCGCGGAATAAATCCGACGAGCTCACGCACCTGTGTATGTGCGTGCGTATACGACAGGACGAAAATAAATGGAACGCATGGTAAAAGAGAGAGAGAGAGAGAGAGAGAGAGAATGTGTACGCGTTACGAACGACGCTCGAAGCGATAAAAATCGTTAGGCGAAAAAAAGGGAAAAAGAAAAGAAGAAGAAGAAGGGGAGGAAAATGGGAGGTAAGTCGATGCGTGCATCCGCGACAAAAGCTTTCTCCGAGACATTCGCATCGATCTCCGAGGGTATCTCGAGGCGTATTGCGAGCGAGCGAGCGGCTATCGCGGCGGATCCTTATGGGCTCGCGCGCGGACACAAGCCGCTGCGCGAACGGGACCGAGGATACTCGGGTGGGAGAGACAAAAGGAAGGTAAAGAGGGAAGAAAGGAAGAGAGGGAGGGAGAGAGAGAAGGAGAATCTATGGTGGCAAGTCAGGCCCGGTGCGTGTAATTATCGGTCAGATCGCTATGCGAACGGATGAATTATAACGTCGCGTTCGGCGCGAGATGCCGCGCACTCGCCTGAGGCGCGCTCGCTCGCTTGTTCGAAGGAATTGACACTCGGAGCTGCGTGGGTTATTAATGTCTCATTTGCATCGGGGATAGATCGGCCCGCTTTATTAGCGATTTATTCCGCGACGGCGTCGTACGAAAGATCCCGCCACCGAGAGAGCGGTGGTAGATTCGTGGGCGGCGAGCAAGGTGCACGAGCGCGTCATGCGTGCTGTGACACTGCAACTGCGGTCACTCGTGTGATTTTGAAATCGCGCGAGATTGAACATTACAGAAAGCACTCGGGACAAATCACGCGTCCGCTTACACTGAAGGAAGGATTCGGTAACGATTACCACACATTTGGTGGAAACTAATTAACTGAAGGGAGCTTCTCAAAGAGCGACGAATAAAGCGCATGTTTTCTTAGTAATAATAATAATAATAATAATAATAATAAGTAAATATTACCCCTCTTTATAATAACGCCACTTTGAACTTTTGTAACCACACATCTGCATTTGTTTACGTTTCATTTCTCGTTTATTTACCTCTGTGCTCGCTATTGCGACTTTAAATCAACAATGTTCGCCGTCCATTTCCCGAAAAAATATATATAAAAAGAAATATTTATAAATTGGAACTTGACGATCGATACCACCAATATTCGCTGTTTCCCTGTCATTTTTTCTCCTCAGAAGTAAGAAGAGGGCCGCGACTCCCAGTGTACTCGGACGAATCTCGGAAACGGAGCCCCCGCTGACGGCGAAAATTTCATCGGACGATGCGCACCCCCTTCGCCGCGACAACCCGTATGCGAATCACCGCTCATGAGCGCGTAGAGCGCGAGAACGTGGAAGCTACGTCCGGCTACTTGTACGGTGATTTATCCATGCCTTCGGTGATAAAGCATTGCGCAATGAGCACTGTTCTAGCTAGATAACACGGCGAATCAGATAAAGGAGGACGCTCCCCCACGAGGAGCCGTCATAAATCAGGTGTGGTTGCCTGCGCTCCGGCCGGCTGTAAGAAGACCGGATGAGCCGAACACAGTGGCGGGCTCTCCTTATTAATTAGAGCCGCGGATAAAGTCGTATAACGGTGCGTATCGCGCGATCCTCGCCGCGCTTGAAGATATCCCTCATCGCCGCGTTATTGTCCGGCCCGGCCCGCATCGGTCATGCCGATTATTTTCGACGCGCGGCCGGAAGTGAGACTCGACTGCGGCGCGCAACTGCGCACACCACGCGGTGTCTGTCTCGTGTTTCATTACCGTCGCGAAATCAGGAATGATATCCGCGGATTGCTCTTCGGTGCAGCTAGGAAGAGAGCTTCGTGGGAAATGCGAGAATGCGACGCGGAATATTCATGAGAAATCGCGGCCCAACTTATGCGCACATCCGCGGTTTTCTTCACGTACGAGAATTACCCCGCGCTTCCTCGGCGCGTGCACAGGCGAATTCGCGAATTCGAAGCGAATTTAAGGGCGGATTCCTGCACGGATAATGCATTTTTGGGCGATTTTTTTTGCTTGATAACCCATTTCGAGTGAAAATTCGTTTGAATTTTCTCTTCACTTTCGAATGTTATTGTTCGTTCCAACGATTTCGAGTGAGACCTGTACGAGTGTGGGAGCCACTCGACTTGGAATGATTCGGTTGTCACTCCATTCTTCAAACTGGTAAATTAATTTCGAGCGATACAAAAGCGCGCGATAATGGCGATAAAATGACGTAGTACGGACGTGCTGCGAGCGTACGAGCCGAGCAACTCGCTCTGGCAACGGTATCGAGTACCTTCAATCTTCTACCTGCCGATAGCCGCATTGATTCTCACGGGAACGATATTTAATCGTTCGCGCGTAACGCCAAATTATTCTAACGGTTTGTTTATGGGCTGCTAAGAGCTCGAGGGCCTAAGCGCGCGAGCGTGATCGAAAACGGATGAATGAACCGCTCTCTCTCTCTCTCTCTCTTTCTTCCTGCTGAGAGAGCCGTTCGAGGAACGCCAGCAGGGAGAAGCTTGTGTACAAAAGGGGAAGGAGAGAAGAGAATTACTATAACTGACGAACAAACGGGGTCTTTTACCGATTCGCGAGATAACGCCATTCGAAGCACACGCGTATTAATTATCCCCGTGTATAATTGACGTCGTGTTCAATTTATTTCCATTAATAAATTTATTTAAAGATTTAAATCTTATTTATTTAAAGATTTAACTCTTTTCAAGCAATTTATCTTGATCATTCGATTGATTTAATTTATCAAATTAAATTGTTCTCTTCAACGAAAAGTCTCCGTCTTTCGAATAAGTCTCTTGTTTTTTCCCACGCGATATAAGATATGCTGAGGTGTACACGTGTATAAGATTATCGTTGTCATAAATCGCTTTAAAATAAATAATATACAATAAATTCTCATAAATTTTGATCTTACCTTCGCAGTACGCCACCGAGAAGACTCGCGTTCAAGCATTCCGGAGGCGATAGCCGTCTTTGTACCTCTGCTACCGTAACTTTGTACTTGCTGGTGCTGCTTAGTAACGATAATCGTCCCGGGACCGAACAGAACACGTCCGACGGTTGCGCGTTTCCGCTCAACATGGCCTTCTCGCTCCTGTCCGATGGTTTCATATCTGCAAAATTAAAACGTAGTCGTCAGGGATGCATGTGCGAGTTTCTCTCTTTCTCTCTAACAACTAGAAACTATCGACTCGAGACCTGTTGTATTTCAGAGGTCCTTTTTATTGCTCTCCACTCCATCGTTCCTCTTTGCGTTCATTCCTAATCACAGGTGTCGTTGGACGCGCTGTACGCAACAGTATTGTGTCGTAATGTCGCCGAGGTAGAAGCGGACGTAAAGTCAACCGAGACGCATATATTTTTATTTCACGCTCGCGCTCGGTAATGAACTCCCCTCGTTAAATGGTCGATAAGCATCGTTTAATAGCGCGATTTAATAGCTCTAATAGGCCGGGGGAAGATTTCCGGGAGTTACAAGACGGCCCGACGTTCCCGTCGGACGGACTTTCCGTCTAAACGGGTTCTATTAATGGAGCTGATTATATCTGCGGACGAACGGGCGCGAATTCCGACATGCCGACCTACCGAACGGTGTCATGCGACACCCGAGTAGACATTTTGAATCTATCTGAAACTTTTAATTTAACAACACAGCAGCAGTTCAGATAACGAAATATCGTCAATTTTAATTCTAGTAATATAATTTACTCCGACTATAACGTTATCTTAATTATCATTTTTGCTTTCTGTTTTCAGCATCAATATGAATTTAATAATCGGAATATCGAGATCGCATTCACAGCTTCGAATTGACATTAAAATCTGTAAAATTAAAGATTCAAGAGAAAACAAGCGCAGTATCATCAAAGTAGGTTTTTACTAGTCTACAAGCCATCTAAATAAGCATAAATTATCCTTAAGAGCGTCAAAAGTAGCATGAATATTTCAAGCCGGGAATCTTCTTCAAATCCGCTGCGAGATCTCGCTGCGTCGCTTATTATTATGCACTACCGATATACATGTACACAACAGCACAACAACTGGGCGCCACAGTTTTCGTTCTCGTCTCCGCGCTGGAAACGACGGTAATCAGTTCCGTCCAGCCGCCGGAGGAATGCAATAATCCAGTTAAGACTGCCGTAGTCCATTCCCGTAGAAGGTCAAAGTAAGATTCACGACTCGGAGGAGCAAGGAATATCGAAACCAAAGCTTCCGATCCGAAATTATGTTATGCCGCCCCCTCTCTTTCTCCATCTCTCTTCTCTCGCTCTACCTGTGTCTGCGTGTATACGCGTACGGCTGTGCGTACGCGCGAGTGTGAGTGCGTAACCGTGATCAGGGCAATATCTTCGGCGAATATTTTAAATTCGCCCTTACCGTTCCTGTTTTAGTTCCTATGCACATCGATAGCCCCCGCATTATTGCATCGTTGGCCTGGAATGCTTAATATCGTGCCTTGGGGCCCGGACAAAGCGCGTTATTACATGGCAAAGAGATGGTCAACTTATAACTCTTCATCTTCGCGTGGCGGACGAGGAGTCCGTCGGCGTATCTCGATATTTCGAAATTCGCGTGTCCGACGTGAAGGCACCGCCTTTTGGAAACGTTTCTCGCTCCGAAATTCGCCCCGGTACTTGTCCCTCGCGAGGAATAACCGAGGATGGCAGCAAGCCGACGACGCTCTCGCGAACTCGATTGTACGAGAAAGTAGGAGTTAGGATGGCCAACTTTTGATCAGGCAATTACGGGATATCGGCCTCAAAAATTGGGACACAACTCAAAAAATCGGGACTTTTAATAGAAAACAAATAAATCTGCTAAATGTGGACAAATAAAATTTTTATTCATTATTATGTTAAGATCAAATTTAAGGAGGTTGATGAATTTTAGTACAATTTATTGTTATATTTTGTATTATTTATTTTTCGTTAAAAAACTGGAACAATTGGGATCGTCTCTAATGAGAGGCGAAAATCGGGACGGTTGGTTACCCTAATAGGAGAGCTCTCCGCAGGACGCTGAGGAACAAACAAGCGGAAAACGAGGAATGCGCGATGCGAGTGCGTGCATAATCACAATGAAGAGAATGAAATTCGCTACGGACGCGGCAATATCCATCATAGAATTTATTGTCTAAGCGTCGGCCGATCTATCGCCGTCTCGCGCGCGCATATTCGCGATTCGTAGCCGAGTCATCGATTAAACGCACCATCATCCCGTTAATGTCAGCGTGTTGTGACGGATACACGAGAACGGCTCTATAAATCTAAACGATAGATATCTGGCGATATTTTTACCATTCATGTAGTGCCATTCTTGCCGCGCCGTGAACACTCGGAGAAGAATACGCAGTCGCGCGGCAACTAATAATGTAAAGTATTGTATGAGTTTTGTATGTAGAACTGAGTTTAACAGACTTTTAACGACATATAGTTTCATAAGCTCTTATAAACATGTAGTTTAATACATTTTTTTACAGCTATGTTTAAATTTTGGTAATAGTTATGCATTACATTTTTATATTTAACTATGGCGTTTTAATTTTTCGCGCGGGTCAATTTGATTCATAAATGTCAAATTAGGAGTAATTTTACATAGAAAACTTATATACAATTGTGCCGTGTAATCCGACACATAATCCGAATACAGAACCCTGCTTGATATTTGAAAGATCGTCGTCGTTGCGGGCGAGCAAAGGTAGAAAGTAAACAAGTTGTCCGCCTTATTATCTATGACCGGCCGCCGAGATCGATTCCCGTCGATGTCTCGATCCGGCAGGTCAAACGGATCATAAATTTCCGTATGCGCCAAATATAGGTCGACATTGTGCCACGCGGGCGCTTATAAATTATAATGTTCGGGAGAGGAAGCGGCGATAGAAAGAGAGAGGAGCGGCGCACGTAACGGTCCTGCCCGCTGGCGGCAGGCATTAGTCGGACAATTTGGTAACGTCGAAATGATGTCGGAGAGAAAAGAATTAAAAAAAAAAAGGAGAGAAAAAAGAAGGAAAGAATGGGAAGAACGACGCGGTCGATGAGGATGACGACGTGTACATCATTTCCGTGACTCGCGTCAAGCGCGCAGTCTCTCTTCCCGTCTCTCTCTCTCTCTCTCTTTCTCCTTTAGCTCGATATTAGCGGATGTTAAGTACGGGTTTTACGTATCGTTCTTTTTTTCAACAATGTATACTTTAGTACTTAAGGATCGACCGGATCATAATGCTTATTTCCGTACGATGATGTTTCTTTCTCTCTCTCTCTCTCTCTATTTTTCTTTTCAGTCTTTATTTCGTTCGATCGTCCGGATATTGTTGCCCGATGCATGATGATCGCAATCGATCGACATAAAACTTCGGATGTCATTGGCTATGGAAAGACCCATGTAGGGTACAATCGTATATATTCGGCCGGTAGCGGAGAGACCGACGAGGGGTGTCAATTCAATACTGAAATACGAACTTTAGCATGAACAGTTAAGGTAATAGTTAGCTGTGTTCCCTCTCTGGTTATATCATATACAGACAATGCGAAAGACGTTTATACCTATCGACGGAGCGGTGTAACACTTAAGATAACTGACTAACGATTCAGAGGTCTCGGGTTAAAGTGTCTATCAATGTTTTTCAGATACAGCATTAAATCAAGTGAATGAGTTTCAGGAAATCAATATACCTAAAATCAGTACGCACTTTGAGGACAATTTCTGTTAAAAAATAAATAAATCGATTTCTAGTCGGAAATGTAAGTATGATTTTAGTATTATTGTGCGATCTGGTCAATATTTTTTTCTATTTTAGCGCCTAAATTCAGACAGCTAATAAATTAGCTGCGGTAGCAATAACATTAGCCGTCGCTATTTCAAAGACACGTTTTAGCTGCCAGATTCCAGCTTATATGGCTAATTCTTTCTCCGAGTGTACTCGAGGTTTCGTTCCGTCTAATTTTTTGTCGTCGATAGAACGAGCGATTATGAGCGTGATCGGTGATCTCGATCTTCGCGAATTTATCCACGAGGCTGTTGGAGGGGCGACGAGGAGGCCGATCAGGTCGTCAAATGCCGGCACACCGCGGCGCGTATGCATCGTTAGGAAACATCATTTAGAGAACACACAAGCGCTGCGAGCAATTCCAACCGTCCGATGTTGCTATCTCGGACACTTATCTCGATTCCAGTAACGGTTTACGGACGGATATTAATTTATTTAATGGGGATAGCGCGCTCGCGAGAGCCGCGCTTATTTTATCCGTGAGGTCGGCACCGATAGTGCGCAAAGCGTGTAATTATCTCGTGGGCTGCTGTAACCTTTCGCGGTATGAATTGTGAAACCGTCTCACTCATCGACGGACGCCGCGCGCTATCGGTCCCTCCGTATCGCGGGTTAATTACTCACTCCGTGTATCCGGTAATTCAATAACCGCGCCGAAGCGTAAGTGGATTCGTAAGAATCCACTTACACGAGACCGCCACTCTCAATAAATCACGCGATTAATCTCATTCTCAAACGTACGTCCGAAGAGCGCCTCCGAGTTAACGATGTAGGAGGATCTTTTTCCCTCCTGAAATCACTATGTCCCGCTACGTCGACATTTCAGATAACACCCAGGAAGTTGTTAGCGCCCGATAATTCGTCATCGCGTTTCTAACGCCCTTCTAATCTCGTTCTATCGGGAAATCAGTCCGGAAGCGGAACGTCTGCCGCGCGAAATGAAAGGTCGGGGCGCAAACGAAAAATTTCGACGACTTATTAATATAAATGCGCTGATTGCATAGTACGTATGCCACTTTTCTTTCACCTTTTTATAAGAAATAGTTTGAAGTTCGTTCGCGCAGCGTGCGTATATATTCTCCATCGCAACCGAGATCAGCCATCTGGGTTCCCTCGATCGCACAGCGCGAGTTGAATCACGCGCGACCATGACACAGGAAGCGTTTCGCGGCGCTTACGTCTTCGCGTTCTTGCGCTCACCTTCCAAGAAATGTCTCCGCGAGATGAACTTTCCTCTCGCTCCGAGCGGAATAATTGGATTTCGCATTCGACCGCCTCTTTTCACTATTATTGTTATTATTATGATTATTCCCTTAACTTTATAGTTACGCCCGTCCGTTTGAATAT